AATTATGAATACCAATATATGAAGGGTCTTGTTAACAAGTGCCTCAAGGACACGAAAAGTAGACCAGAAATAAATTTGAAAACACAAGACACTTTTTATTAAATTCAATGTAGTTTTTATTGAAATTAATGCACTTCTTTTAACTGTTTGACCTATTTTCAAGACACTTCTTTATTTCAATCCTAATATCCAGCACTTTTAGCATTTGTCATATACAAATATCTTGAGGACACCACAATTACACGAATTATAACTCAGACCATTCCAATAAAATAAATTACATATATCTATTAAGAACAGAACAAAAAGATGACATGAGGAACTTGCTTCTCTACATTTCAGGAGCTTTAGCAATAATGGAGAAAACTACAAATGCAAGACTGATGTTACAGGAGGATAAGTTACCAAAAAATTTGATATCCATGTTTCATATTTCTTTTTTTCTACTTCTAAATCTCAAAATTTAGTCAAATAAAGAAACTAAATCCTAAGCAAAGAATCATGCCAATCTCAAATCATACCTGAGGGAGTAATGCAGGGAAATTAGTTAGAAGTTTTCTCTTGCTAAGATTTCGAAATTTCAGTGTAGCTTCTACAACATGGTCTAAAAATTCACTTAGTAGTTTATTGGTGGTAGTTGCTACATAATTAATGTATGTTGGGTTATATATAATAAATCCATGTGTTTTTTGGGCGATTAATGTAGACCTTTTTTTATTCAATGGCAACTGAGCAGTGAGTGGTAACACAAGTGATGAAGACTAAAGAATTCCTCAACTGAGCAGTGAGTCAACAACCATGTAATCTTAGTTATCACTCAAGAATTCCTTCACTTATGTTGCTGCCATTGCTTGGAAATGGAGACTAAATTGGGCCCTAGTTTTTTTTAGTTTTTATTTTTTTTTCATTTATCCCTTTTTATGTTGTGATGCAGAGCGTGATTCTTGGGAAGCTAACATGTTCATGGAGATAGAAGGTGATGGGGGTGCCTGCATATCTTCAACCTGATCTTGAAGTAGATCTCGTCTTGCCTCCGGCACCAGCTAGCAGAGTCGACAACCATGTAATTTCCAATCTCAGTTATCACTTAAGAATAAATTCACTTACATTGCTAGAATTCCTTGGAAATGGATGTTGTATTTCATGAGTAACTGATCAAAATAACTCTATTGACACGGCTTTTACAGGTTCCTACTAGTATGGTGTTAGAATTGTATGATGCATGATTCGATTCATACAATTTAATATGAGTTTCAACCAAAATTATTTGAATTGTGTTGTTTGAAAATTGGGTGTGCTGTTGAATTGAGAATTGAGTAGTTCATAGGTTTTTGTTTACATAATGTATTGAAATGACGCCTTTTTCAACTACTCTATGATGAAACAAAAATAGGGCAATTGGTTATACTGATGTACGTGGTGTTATATATATATGTAATATATAATTTATTTATATTGATCCTGTGAAGTATTTGATTGCGATTGCTATAGTGTTCCAACATATGTGTGAGGTTTGGAAATTCCTTTCCAATAATTTGGGCTATATTTCATGATAAGCATCTGGTGGATCTTGTATGAGAAGGGAAAAAGAAATGGAAGGAAAAGTGGGAAAAAAAAACTTTGTTAATAGTTTCATGTGGAAAAAAACATGCAAAGGGTGAACTGCTAATACATGTATTATCTTATGCAATTTTATCTCTTCTTTTGTGGAGATTTTGTTGGAATTTTGTGTTTCATTTGTTGTGGCGCGTTATAGAAACCAAAAACACCCTTTTCGTAGTTTTTAGATAATTAGAGATCGACAATTCCAACTTCCTTTACTCCATTCAAAAAGTTGTTCAAAATAATTGATGAAAATTTCCAATGATCCGGTTTGTGCATGTTATTCAAAATAATGTTACTTTTAGGAGTTGTTAGTTTTTCATTTGTATTTTTTTTCCTTTGTGTTTTTGGCGCTAACCCCTTGCAGGCAACGACACATATGGACATGGTTAATCATTTAAGGTAATCTCCTTAACTTTTTGATTTTATTTTTTACATTCAGGACAATGCATTGTTTAGTTTGGGGGGAGAAAATACTTATTTTGAGAAGAATTTATATATTTGCTTGCAGCTATGAGTTAGTTATTTTGTTAAAAAAAAATAAAAATTTAGTGCTCATGGTATTCTTTTGTTCTATACATTGAGTGATTGGGCATACTTGTGGTATTTAATTGCTTTAACTCGAGAATTGTTTTGAAGTTTGATATGCTAGCTACTTTGTTAAAGTATTCCGTGCGTTCATATTTGGAAATCATTGCACTGCACTTCAGCCACATGAATATGATTTTTAGTTGATAAGTGGATATGACTTGAAAATCTTGAGGAATGAGAGTGGAGACTTTTAACCCTGTGAGTTTTGTGCCAATCATTTATTGGAGGGTTACTATACATTTGCTCTTAATTTTCTTTGGAAGGACATTAATTTGTTGTTTAGTCTCATTATTTCTTCATTTTGGTTGAATGCTGAGAATAAATCAATTTGTTATGACACTTTTATTCCATTGAGATCATGAAAGTTGAAGGACCACACTAATTCTTGAGAGATGATTTTAGGCCATCTTTGTTTCTTTGAGCCTTTAATTTATTTTTCTTTCTTTTATTATTACTTCATGAACCATTAGAAACCAATTTGAGCCTTTATGTTAGCCTTTCTTTGTTTAACCCCACAACCCATACTTTCTTTTTACTTTTGTAGATATGTTGGGATTATTTGAGTTTGACAATGGCAAATTTGTTTGAAAAAAAAAAAAAGAAAAAAAAAAGGAGAAAAGCTGAAAAAAAGAAGAAGAAATAAATTGTGTTCAACGAAGGGGAAAAAAAAACAAAAAGAAAAAAAAAAAAGCAGAAGGAGAAAGTTGAAAAAGACAAAAAGAAAAGTAATAGAAAGAGCAAGGCATTTGGAATAATGCTCTAATTGTGTTTGTTTTTATGCCAATTGTCTCTCAGACGTCCTTTTTTTTTATTCACCTTTGGCTTTTTATTATTTTTTTCGTAATTCCTCAACCCAAGCATTACAACCAAATAAAAGTCCTATTTGATCTTGAGTGTGGTATAGTTTACAAGTGGACATGATGGATTGGGGTGATGGTGTGGTAATTTTAATTCTCAGTATTTGATATTCCATTCATGAGACTATTTATTCTTTCATTATAGCGTTTTTCCAAAAAATTAGTATGCGGGATATTTTAGCTTTGATTTACATTGTTCTACTCGCATATATTGAGAGCAATTTTTGCACCATATTCCGAGTGATTTATTTGTTGAGTGCAATAACTGGTGAGATTTGAGTCGAAGCATGTTTCAGAAAGAGATTTGGGTTATATTTCACTTTAAGGCTAAGGTTGTATATGTGTTGGCTAAACTTTTTCACACGCCAAATTCTGAATGTCATGAGATATCTTTACTTGCTGCTAGTGTCTTGAACTTTGATTGGTTATCTTGTTAAGGTTGTGAAATTCATGACTGGTTCTTTAACCTTGGCATGAGAATGAAAGAAGTCGTTTTAGTAAAGAAATTTTTGGATGTTTGTGGGTAACATCTTTGGAAACACGAGACTTTAACTCGTCCATGAGGGGTAATCTATTGGATTAAGGGCTTGTTGCATGTGCTAAATTCAATCGTGATTTCTTGCGGAAGTGGTTTAGAGTGGTTGCTTTTATTCTTCTTTTTGATTTTATTTTAGTCGCCTTAATTGCTAGGTTCTAAAATTAAAGCTGGTTGGGAGGTGTGATGAATGCTTAAAATTACGTAGTTATTCTAGGAATTTTGGATATTTTATTCATTCTCTCGATTTATATTTAATTGTGATTTAATGTATTTAATTTAAATTTTTAGAAAAACTACATTTGAGCCATCAACAATATAAATGGCTCAACCAGGCCCATAAGACTCGGTTTGCTTTGAAATCATCTCATAACATCCACAAAATCTCTCTCAAAGGTTAGACAAGATTTCATTGTACCTCCAGTCCTTTTATATTTTGATTTTGCTCTTCAAATATTTATTTATTTTTCCTTTTAATTACTACTCATCTTTTGTTCCTTATTTGTTCCTTTTATATAATATATATTGGGTGACTTAGAACACTAGATCTGACTGCAATGTTGTCAAGGGTGCTTGGGCTGCTCGAATTCAGCGCAACAAGATGGTAATTTTTATCTTAATTTTCTAACCCTCTACATAATATATATACTTTTTACTCACAACGGTCTTGTGTTTGTTGCTTTTCATCGAATAAAAGATAATATTGCTATTTCCTAAAGGCAAGCTTTCATATTTTTGTAGATAAGGGAGCAGAAAAGGGGTGCTGTTTTGAAAGAAAAAAGGGCCCCCAGTTGATTGACTTGTCCTCCCTGTATCATTGTATATGATATGTTTTTAATGTTAATATTGTTTGTACTCAAATGAATTGTTGAGCCTTCACAAAAAGGTTCTTTTGTAGAAAACTAGACTACATTTGTTTCCTGGTAAATTGAGATCTAGATGGACCGGCCCTTTCATAGTTAAAACTGTTTTTTCTCACGGGGCCATTGAGATTGAAAACCCCAAGAATGGTAATGTTTTTAAAGTGACTGGCCAATGTCTTAAACCAGTTTTGGAGAATTTCCCACCTGAAGAGGAGAGGAGTCCATTGAATTAAAAGGCCCTATTTATCGAGACCCATAAACATAATAATAAAAGCAATGTTACTTTTAGGAGTTGTTAGTTTTTCGTTTGTAATTTTTTTCCCTTTGTATTTTTGGCAATAATCCCTTGCAGATTCATGGTTCATCTTTTCTTTTTTAATAAATTTTTTGTTGACATTCAAAAAAATATATATATATATATATAGACATGGTTCATTATTTAAGGTAATCTCCTAACCTTTGTGATTTTGTTTTTTACATTGAGGACAATGCATCGTTTAGGTTGGGGGGAGAAAATACTTTCTTTGAGAAGAATTTATATGTTTGCTTGCTGCAATGAGTTAGTTGTTTTGTTATAAAAAAAAAAGAAAGAGACCTTGTCTATATTTATTTATTCTTTCATTATAGCGTTTTTCCAAAAAATTAGTATGCGGGAAGGGAGTAATGTCGGAGAAATTTAGTAGAAGTTTCTC